CAAGGGCCTCCCTTCCCCCAACCCTGAAACCCCCCAAATTAAAATCAGGCTTACACTGGGCACCACCCCTGCTCCCCAGTGGGAGGCTGGACAGGGACAACCACCAGATCCACTGTCTTTGCAAAGGGCGAGACGTCGCAGATGCTCAGAGGCACTCTGGCCCACCCCCAGCAGCCCCTCAACCCCTCATTCAGCCAGTACCACTAACCCTCACAGGGCCCCAAGATGCAGCAAGCCCTCAGAGGCCAAGTCCCAGGCCTTTTAGCCCAGAAGGGGTGAGGGAAGCCCAGTACCTATCAGTAGATCTCCTTGGCCACGGGGCAGCAGCAATATGTCGGCTGTCTCACCACTTCCACTTCCCCCCACCCCTGCAGCAGCCACCATCTTCCCAGGCTTGGAGGTGACCACAACCCCAACTCCTCCATACTCCCTCCTACTTCCTAGACTGGCCTTGGAAACTGGGAAACATACAGCCAGCGGAACCTCCATGGGAAGCTTGAGGCCTAGCCCCCTCCCTCAGCACGACCAGTGGAGCCTCAGCCCAGCCCCTTGGAGGTCTGCCTAATGCAGCCTAGGTCTTCTCCAGCCCCTGGGCCCCCTCCTCCCAGCCCAGCCCATCTGGTGCAGGATGGGTGGAGGAACCTGAGGAAGGCCTGGTGAGGGGAGAGGACTTAAGGGAGGAGGAGCAGAGGGTTTGAGGAGTGATGCCTGCAAAGAGGGATCTGGTGGGCCAGAAGCAGGAAGCAGGGGTCTCAAGTCTCGGAAGGGGCTCCAGGTGGGGAGAGGGCTCAAGAGCAGTTTCCCACTTGAGAGGTCCCTTGGGGTCAGAGTGCACAGGTGGAGGATACAGATTCCAGAATAGGGATGGGGCACAGAAGGGTTAGGGGGGAGTGGGTGGGGGCCTGGCAGGGGCCCCAGGGGATGCTCATGCCCAATAGGAACAGAAGAAGCAGGTGGGAGAAACAGGTGGAGCCTGAGGAGGGGGACCAAGTGAGGTTCTGGGGGTTTGGATAAACTCTAGGGAAGGATGGAAGGACAAGGTAGGGGCTCTGAAGTTCTGTGAGATTGGTTAGCAAGAGTGGATGGCCAAGCAGCATTCTGGGCAGACGGTGTTAGGGCACTGTTGGTTTTGAGGGGTCTGGGATGAGTTGGGGGTCTGATCTGGAGTCTGGGCTAGGACCAAAGGTTTAGACCAACCCAGAGTTTCTAACCCTTATTTGGGGGTCCTGGCCAGGCTGGGCCTGGGGGTCCAGGCTAGGTCTGGAAGTGTGAAGCCCCCGTCTGGAAGTTAAAGTCCTTGTCTGGGTTTTCGAGCTGGGAATCAAGGGTCCCAGCGCGGGGTGAGGCCTCACCCAACAGCAGCAACTTCACCTCCCGCGCCGCCTTCTCTCCGTCCTCCCGCAGGTTCTTATCGATCATCTTAGAGCGTTCGGCCGCCGCCTTGTCCTCGGCGCTCACGGTGCAGCCCATCCCGCCGTCCGCCGGCCCGGCCGCCGCCCGGCCCCCACACGGCCCACGGCCCGGCTCGGCCCCGCCCGACCCACTCCGCTCCCGCCGCCGGCCCTCAGCGGGCAGCTCTCGGATCGACAGTTCCGAGCGTCTGCGGGAGGCGCCTTCCCGGCCGCCGCGCACCCACGGCGGGGCGGGCCGGGGGTGGGGCTCGGGCGAGCTTAGCCGAGGACTGGGCCGGGGCGGGCCTGGAGGTAGGGCCCGAGGAGATTCGGGGCTGGTGATTGGCTCGCGGCCGAGCGCAGGGACACGGTGGGCTCCTCCCAAGCTCCGGCCTGTGCTGGGGTGGGAGGGAGCCAAGCGGAGCGAAGCCAATAGGGGAGGAGCCAAGCCCAGGCCTCGGGCTCTGGCCGGCTGCAGGCGGGGCCGGGCTCCGATTGGGTGTGGAGCGCCGGCAGAGGGACCGCGGGGCGGGCAGAGTTCTTGGCCCGAGGGTGGGGATCCGGTGCCCTCCCGGGCCGCGCAGGAACCAGCCCTAGGAGTTTCTGCGAGTTGTAGAGTAGGTTGCAGGAGGCGTGTCTTCGTCCCTTGTTAAAGTTAATGAACCCAATAAACTTGTTTTGGGATCTACAGAACCCAGGGGCCTTTCTGGACTGCGGTTTTCTGTCTTAAGGAGGGTTTGCCCCCTTCTCTCTCTAGGTTGCAGCAAATCAAAATAATAATAATGATGATGACGACGATGATGATGAAGTCGATTGCCACGTCTACTCCTTTGCCCAGGCTGTCTCCCTCTCAGCTGGGTGCCTTCTCTAGTCATCCAAGCTTGTCCATCCTTCCCTGATCTGCTGCTGGGAGGCATTTCTCCTGCAGGCAGCCATCCTGGACTCCAGTGTGGGACCAGGCAACCAGGACCCAAGGGGGAGAGGGAGAGAAGATAAGAGGGAGGGAGGGGAAAAAGAGAGAGAAAGAGAAAGAGAGAGAAAGAGAAAGAGAGAGAAAGTAAGTTATTGCCCCTGGACTTCAAAGTGGCCATGATCTTGTGACCTGTCCCTTCCATGGCCTGTCCACCTCTGGGGGAGGCTATGATCCCATGCCCCACCCTTCTGCAGCCTGTCCCCACTGGGCAGTGGGTACAACACTATGGTTGGGCAAAGGTGAGGTGGAGGCAGCAGTGGTTCTACCTGAACTAATTTCAAGTCTTTCTTGGTCCTGCTTTCCAGGAGAAGCCCACAGCTCCAACCTCGATTGGACATTTGAAGGGTCTGCCAAGGACTGCCCAGAAAAGTGTCTTGTGTGGCCCCAGTGCCATGAGCCAGCGAGGCCCCAGCCCTAACACAGGGTAGGTGCAGGAAGCCAGGCAGGGAGCTTGTCACCAATGCTTGGCCATCCACAGCCGCCTGTTTAGCACAGTCCCCCTCCTTACTACCCTGGCAAACACCTTGTTCCAGCTCCCAATCCTCAGGGTGGCTGTTCTCCCTGGAGTGTCCGTGTCTCCCTAACTGAATGTCTCCCTTGTTGAGGAGTCATTGGCCTGTAAGTCCTTCAGTGATTCCTCCAGGGCTCCCTCCTGCCTGGAGCCAAAGCTCACCCAGGCACTGCCACAGGCATGCAACAAACACGGTGAAAACACACAATGCCCACCAGGGACAGAGAGAGATATGCTCTATACATCCACATGCAGCCTCCATCGTGTCTCAAATCCACAGAACACACTATGAAAATGCGTGCACCCAGCCAAGAACAACACAGTCTGTCCATGCACAGACTACAAACCCACCCAGCTCCAAGGTGGGCCCCTTCCCCCTGCCCCCCACCACTGCTGGCCCTGCCCCCAGGCTTGAGAGCCGATCCTCCCTCCTTTGGCCTCCCTAGCCTGCTCCTAGCAACAGCCAACAGCTCTCTCAGTTGCCAGGCAACAGGGAGAACCTGTCAGCCCCTTGGAGGCCCAGCTCTCAGGAGGTGGGTGCGACATAGACCCCAATCTATGGAGGTGGGGCAGGATGGGGCCACTGAAAGGAATGGCCTTTCCCAGCCCCAGGCCAGGTCCTGTGGTTCTTGTACCCTTCCCAGGAGTCAGCCACTTCTTTCCAGCCATGTACTCTTCCAAGGGAGTCCAGCAAACCCAACTTCCACCCTGCTTGCTGCTCCTGCTCCTTCTCCTTCTCCATGAGCGTTCCCAGGGCTATGGCCAGGCCTCTGCCAGCCACTCCAGTTACACACCTCCCACTCCAGGAGCTCAGAACCCCACATGGTCATCTCCAGCCTTACTTCTCCCCTGATTGCCAGCGCCATGTCCACCACTGCTCTGAAGCAGTGCCCCCAGACACCTCGGGCACCTCGAACCCACACTGTCCAGAACTAGGTACATCCCATCCCATGGCCCCTGCTCCTGGGCTCTCCAACACTTCATGGCCCCCTCCACCAGCCAGAACAGTGACCCTCCACCCACCCCTCACATGCCATCAGCTTCTTCCCCTCCTCAATTATCCCTCAAATCTGTCCCTGTTCTCTGTCCCCACTGTTTCCCAGTCTAGGCCTCCAGCCTCCTCTCCTGTTTCTCCTACAATCCATCTTCCACATGGCAGCCAAAGGGATCCTACTGAAAGAAGTCACATCACTCCCTTGCTCACAAACCTTCTGTGGCTCCCAGGGCCCTGAGGATAAAGCCTACACACACTAGTTTGGACTCTGGCGGAGTGGCAATTGGCAGCAAGGACTTTGGGGAGCAGTCTGCAAACTTGCCAGCTGCCTGTTAACCTGGACAAGTACCAGAAACTCCCCATGCCTCAGTTTTCTTATCAGTAAAATGGGTCTAACAGTTATACATACCCAATGCGCAAGCTGAGGTCAGGACTAAGGGATGAAACATGTTAAATGTTCAGAACCTGCATGGCACACCCAAAGGCCTCCACAGGAGTGAATTGTTACAGTAATGATCTCTGTAAGGCCCCATAGGGGCTTTCCACATCCAAGAATCCACCTTGTCTCCCTCCATTTGCAACACACTGGCATGCCAACCATCTGGCTTGCCTTGTCCTCTCCATCCCTTGCACTTCGCCTCTGATTCCTCTACCCCATAAGCTAATCCCTCCTCCCTGGCTTTTGCTGGCTGTGAGCTGGACCCTCTGACTCTTATTGTCCTGGGGCTTCCCCTTCCCCAGCCAGATCTCACTATCCTGGCAGCGAGTCTCTCCCACCCAGGAGAGATTCCAGGCTCCTTGCAGGGTGGTCAAGTTAAATAAATGAATTATACAAACTATCCCACCCTATCAGGGTTCTCATCCTGGAGCTGGAAGGGGTATAAGCAACTCATCCTGCTGCCCCTATAAAAATATTCTCTGTAGTTGTATGTGCAGAGAAGGGAGAAAACCAGTGGTGCCTGGGAAGGTCAGGATGCTTTCTTGGTGGTGGTAGGAAATGCTAGAGGGAGAACAGTGAGGAAAAACATTCCAGGAAGAGGAAACAGCACATGCAAAGGTAGAGAGGTAAGACTGAGAGAGTAGGTTTGGGGAAGGACCAGCGAGAAAATCACGGGTGAGAGCTGGAGAAACCTCTTGCTTTGCAGCTGAGTGAACTGACTCAGAATGGGCCAGGACCCATCCACAGTCACCCAGTGAGGTATGTCACAGGCATCCTGGTTCCTTCATACTCAGGAGTCCAGGGTCCTTTCAGGAGAGGTCATTTTGGGGGCAAAGGGTGACTGCCTAGCCAGGGCCTCATGAGCACCAGAGGCAAGACTTGTCCCTGTGCCCACCAGCCCAGTACCACTTGGACTAGACCATAAAGGACACTGAAATGATATCAGCAAAGCTGAGGGTGGCCCTCTAGTTAGAATGGAAAAGTGGAAGCTGCTGGCTCACCCCTATAGGAAGAACAGCCTTGGGGCTCACGACAGGCCACAGAGCAGGTCCAGCTTGTCCTGAGTTCCTACCAAGCACCATCCCTGAGCAGGGTGAGGAGACCCCCCTCAGTGGACTATGACGCCCTAGCCTGCAGTATTCAGGAAGGGGAAGCTGCCAGCACTTCCCCAAAGGCAGTTTCAGGGTGGGTATGTGTGTCTCTGCCCAAAGTCCAGGACCAGGCAGGACCCTAGGTTGCCCAGAGTCCAGGATCCTGACTACCCCACATCCATGGCTTCTAGGTGGCAGAGAACCTCTGGCCAAGGACCTGTGACCACCAAATCACAGCCTTGCAGACAGGGCCTTGGCAGCTTCCGTTTGCAGATCTCTTGCTCCCTCTTGCAGCTCAGCTCTGGGTGAGGCTCCACCTCCTGGTCCATCTCCTGCACTTTCCCCTTCCTGCTTCTTAGTCTAGCAGCAGTTCTGAGATTAGAGTCAACCATCCTGCCCCCCTCCCCCCTCCCTGCCAGACCTCTCTTCCCAGGCCTCTCTTGCCCCTGAGAGGAACAGCCCCAAGCCTGGTGGCCTTGGGGCCCAAGGTCCCCCTTCCTGGTCATCCACCCCCTTCAGAGATCATTGGCTTTGGCCTGGAGAACTCATGCCCCAGTACTCCTTGCCCAGAAGTTTCTGGGTTAGGCAAGGAGGTCCAACCTGATACATGGCTGTGTGAGTCAGGGGACAGGGGGTAGAGTGCAGGAGGGTCTAGAGGGAGGGATCATCTGTTCAACCACTGTTTACTGTGAACATATTGTGTGCCAATGTATGGAGAACTCTAGGGTAAGGGAGGCGGGCTGGGACCCTGCCCTTGAGGAGCACACACTGAACAAGTAAACGGGGAAATGGAATTTTACAGTTTCAGAGGAAATCAAGAGGGTGACACTAGAGCCACTGGGAGGTGTGTGCAGGAGAAAACAGTCTGAGGAGGGGAATTTTGAATCCTGGGGAGGGACCAGTCATGTGACAAGCCAGTATAGAGTGAGGCAGGGGCAACAAGAAGTGCAAAGGCCCTCGTGTGGGAAGGAACTGAATGTTCCTGAACCAGAAAGGAAGCTAGCCTGGCCAGAACAGTGAGAACAAGAGGACATGGTGTGAGAGGGGACTGCCATGAAGCATCCCTGAGGAGTAAGGCATACAGGGGGCTCCCAAGTCCCCAGGAGATGCTGACGTAGTAGCAGCAGTATCTCCAAACCAGTGACCCATGTCTAGCCCTGCAAACCCAACTGGTCCTGGCATTCAGGGTACTCCTGATATAACTGGGAAGGAGCCGCGCAAGCCCTAACAGGGAACCCAGGGAGCACTCAGGGCTTTCAGGCCAAGGTCTGAACTAAGCTTCCTCCTTCTTCTTATCCTTGAAGAGCTCACGGTCCAATCTGTCACTATGCCTACCACATACACAGCCTCCAAAGACCACCTCCTCTGGGAAGCCCAGGGTCCTTGGAGGCCTGGGAAATGATAATCGATTCTATCCCCAGGAGCCACTGCTTTGTTGCCTTGTTCACATTATTGCCTAGTCCTCCCTACCACTGCTGTCCAAAGGCTGGGGCTGGTAGCCTCTCCCACGACTCGTTAGGACTGTCATTAGCACTGCTTCCTGGAATTTAATTTAATGAAGAAGCAAAAACAGCCCTAATGAAGGTGATGCAACAGCAAGCAGCCCAGCAAGATACACCATGCCACCTGGGCTCAGGGGCTTCCTGTGGATGGTGACGAGGAAGAGGGGAGGAATAGGGGAGAGGGGGACCTATCCTGGGAGTGAAGCTCCTCACTGAGCCCTGGAAGCACATAGCATTGCTCTCCCTCTACTGTAGGGAGCAAATGCTACAACCAAAGTCAACTAGACAGAGTTACAGAAATGGCCTGGTCAGGAGTTGCTTAAGGATGTTGGAAAAAAAGCTTCTGAGAAGGTATCAGCCAGTGCAAAGGCCCTAGGGTGAGGGCCAGCATGGTATGTCAGGCCTGTGGGCTAGCACCAGGGGTGGAGGTCAGCAGGGGCGAGTAGGGTCCATGGGCAAGGAAAAGTTTAAATTGTATTCCAAGTGTGATGGAAACAACTGGAGAGTTTTTCAGGCAGAATGGTATGATCTACTATTTTAAAATTCCCTCTGGCTTCTTTGAGGAGTATGGCCTGAGGACAAGAGAGAAGGCAGGGAGGCAGGGGGTGGCCCCCATATGAGGGTGATGGAGTGAAGCCTTTGGGGATAGGGCTGTCCTGTGTCTTCTGAAATAAGGAAGGGGGGGCAGGCAATTATAACTGGGCTGAGTTTTTGTTTCCTCCAGCAAGTCTGGGCTGGCAGGTCCCCAGCCCCAACCCTCCCAAACCACCTCCCCACCATCCCGCGTCCAGCATTCCCTGCAGGCTTGGCCTCTCTTTCCAAATGGGCGTAGCTCAAACACATAAAGATCGGTCTAAAGGAGTTCTCAACGTCCTCATAACTGCTTCTCCGGCTTTGTGCACCCCTCTACCTCCAGGAAGCCTTCCTCGCCCAGACCCCAGGGACTCCAGGACGGCACTTCGCAAAGTAAAAGGCTAGGAGGATCAGGCATGGAGCCCATAGCCGCGCAGGGTGCAAGATCACAAGTCGCTACCTGCCCTCGCCCCTGCCCACCGCAGCCCCCTCGCATCCCCTAGCTCTTGCCCCGCCCAAGTCCTCTCACCCACGCCCCGCCCACGGCGTCCTCCCCCAACTCCGGCCCCCGCCCCCGGGCCAAGCCGAAGCCGGAAGCGGCCTCGGAGCACGCTGCCCCACCTCTTCCGGGGCCTCTCTAGGCCGCAGCCCGGGATTTCGGTGGCCGCCAGAGGCCGGGAGTAGCTTTGCGGGGCAGCGGCGCCTCCTGGCGGGGCTGTGGCGCAGCACGGGAGCCGAAGCCGGCCAGCCCCCACCTCCCCGCAGCAGTTTTCTCTCCCAGCTATCACTAGCGGTTGTCTCCACCTTGCCTGCTTTCCCGCCTGCTTGTGCCTCCGCCTCCGCCGACCTGCCATTCCGTGGCCATCGAGGCCCTTCCTCCACAGAGCACCTGCCGCTCGGCGTCCTCTTGCTCCGAGCCCTCGGCGGTGCCCCATCGCCCTTGCCCCGCTCCGGGTCCCAGCCCGCCAGGCCCTCCCCTGGCGTAGAATCCTTTGGCCCGTCGTCAGAATGTCCCCAGCGACACCCGCCTTTCTGTTTCCTCCGGTCCTGGCGTCTTCACACCCTCCATTCCAGGACGCTGCCTCCCTCCTCAGTTTCCACTTCCCAGCGGAGATTAGACAGTGACGGGTGGTCCTCCCTCTGGGCACCTTGCCTGCTTCCTGAGGGCTGGGCCGCTCCGTGCCCATCTCCCGCGCCCAGATCAGGGCCTGTGCGCTGTCGGGGCTCCGAAGCTCTGCAGAGTTTGACCCCAAAGACGCCGGGAGGATAAAGAGAAGAGCTCAGTAATACTTGGAGGGGCTCTCACACTTGGTCAGGGGTCGGTCTGGGAGTCCAGCCCCTTTCTCTGGTTCGGGGGACCCCTCCAGGATCAGGCAGCCGGTGGGGGGCCTGGTGTAGCTCCCTGCAGTACTCACCTACCCAGGATGCCCATCGTAGACGCCTGCCCCTCCCGGACGACCTTGTCCCTTCTGCCCGGGACTTTCTGCCTGCTTTCCTCCTATGTACCATCCAGGAACCCTTCCAGGGCTGTCCTGGACCCTCAAGGCTCAGCCCCATGGCCACGGGTGACCATACCAGCCACCAAAAGGGGCAATGAGTCGAGTGGGTCACCGTGCAGCCGGACTCTGGCTGTTGACCGCCAGGGGTCAGCAGAGGCCGCCTCCCGCAGATTTGGGGGGATTAGGTCGCTAGCTAATCCTGTCCAGGCTCAGCTAAATTTGGCCAGGCGGGTTTGCAGACTTGTGTAGTTATGAAAGCGTTTTGTTCTTTCAGATTTTTTCCAGGGCTACTCTTTCTTTCTAAGTAACTCTCAGTCAATTACTACTACTTCAAGTTGTTTGAAAGAAAGTCAGTTGCTGAGTGACTTTAAACTGGGGTCAAGGCAGACATCTGGCTGGGTCTCTCCACATGCTTCTTGCTATCCTTGGCTGCATCTTAGACCTACTGTGTCCCTAGCCACTAGCACTTGGCTAGGCAGGACAGTGGATACCCTGCACTCTCCCTGATGCCCAGGCCCCACTGTCCAACCTCCATCTACTGTCTTCCAGCTAGTTTCTCACGTACCCTGATCCCAGAAGTCCTTCACCTAGCTCCAGTCCACCATCCTACCAGCTTGTTCGATTCTCTCACCCTCAATAGCTTCTTTCTGGTCTTTTTTTTTTTTTTTTTTTTAATTTGTGGAACAATTCACAAATTTGCATATAACCTTTGCATAGGGGCTATGTTAATCTTCTCTGTATCCTTTCGATTTTAGTCTATATGCTACCTAAGTGAGCACTCTAGTCTACCTTAAAAGCCACTGTTGGCTCTGCACCTCTCACTTCATGCAAGTTGTCTACATTTGCTCTTTCCAGTTCTATTTCTCACTCACTCCTCTACCCACTCCAGTCAGGCTTGCCCCTCCCTCCACAAAACTCCCCTGGTCAGGGTCCTTAGTGACCCACATGTTTCTGAATCCAGTGGTCCATTCTCTACCCTCACCTCCTTGGCAGCATCCAGTGCTTGCCTGGCTGCAGGTGCCCACATCCTCCAGGTTTTCCTCCCACCTCCTGGCTGCTCCTTCTCAGCTCTTCTGCTGGTTGTGCCTGCTCTCCCAGGACTCCTCCTGGTCTAAACCTACTTCTCATCTCATCCAGGCCTATGGCTTTAAATACCACTCACTTTGCCTCCCAGATCCAGAGATCCAGCGTTGACCACTCTACTGAACTTCAGTCACACACCCAGCAACTGACTTGGTATCTCCACTTTGATGTCCAGTTAGTGTTTTAAATTCTTCATGGGCAAAACTGATCTCTCCCAAGCCTGCTCCTGCCCTAGCCTCCTAAAGTGGCAGCTCCATCCCTAGACAGCTTTGGAGTCACCCTGGACTTATCTCTGCCTCTTCCCCTATATCCAAACCATCAGGGAACCCTGCCACCTCTGCCTTCAGGACAAGCCCAGAACCTCAGCCCACCTCTATCACTGTCTGAGCTAAGCCACCCAACATGGCTATTTGGAACAATTGCAGTAGCACTCATGTCAGTGTCACCTGCGGGCCCCCCATCCCCCACCCCAGAGTCTAATCTCACTGCAGCAGCCAGAATAATCCATTTAAAACTTAGAGTTGCTACCAAGTTAGATCCTGCCCCCTCTTCTGTTAGGACCTGGCATTGGCTCTCATCTCACCCAGAAAAAACTCCAAAGTCCTTATGGTAGCTGACAAGACTCCATAACATTTGCCCTCCTCGTGCCACCCACTTCTTCTATCCTTTCCTGCCTCACTCCAGCCACAGTGGGCTGCTGGCTATCCTCACACATGCCAGGCACATTCTGATTCAGGGCTTTGCACCGGGGATCCCAGGGACTGGAATCCTCCCCTGAAGGCAGCCACATGGCTTCTTCCCTCTCCGAATCTCTGAGCAAAAGTCCCTTTCTTAGTGAGGCCCACCCTGTCCCCACTCCTGACCCCCGTTCCCCATTGCCCTTACCTTGATGTTGGTTACTCCCTGTAGAGCATCTTCTAACAAATGATATAACTTAGTGGTTATGTTTAATGTTTCTGTTCTGAATTCAATCCTCCACCTAGGATGTAAGGTCAGGGAAGACAAGGGTCTTCACTGTGTTCACTACTGTAATTATAGGTGTTAGAAGAGTGCCTGGCATGTAGGAAATCTCAATAAATACTTGTTGAATGAATGAATGAATCCCTTTTCAGTTGAGAGGCGAATGTGAGCCTGTGCACTCAAGTGGGGAGGGTTGGGCAAGGGCAGCCGCTGGGCAGGGAGACCAAGGCCCATGCTCTTGCCCTTTTTCCTGGGCTATGTGGTCTTAATTTTCTGTAACAAGCAGTCATCAGAAAAATAGTGAAAAGAAATGTAGAAGACCTCTGTACTGGATCTTTTGGCTGCTCTAACTTATCAATATTACATACAGAGCAATTTTTTTCAGAACAATTTTTAAAAAGCATAAAGAAGGAAAACACCTGGGAACATCTTCAAAGCATACAAAAGTGCTTAATGATGGCCAAGGCCCTGAAGACCCATCCTCTTGGAGGCTGAGTGGCTAGAACATGACAGCCAGGGACAAGGGATACTCATTTTCAAACAGTCATGTGGACACTTGGCTTTTGAATCTCGGGTAGTGGCCACATCACTACACTGTCCCCTCCCTGCTGGGGCCTGCTGTCCAGGGTCAGGGTGGAGGAGGCCTGATTGGGCAGGCAGAGATGGCCTGTCAGGGCCAGGGTCCTTCCCACACCCCAGCTGTGTGGGGGGAGGGGCAACTGTGAGCACATCCCCTTGGTCTGAGAGGCCTGAAGCCAGGCTTGGTGTCCTGTTGCTGCTCTGACCTGCAGCCTTCCTTTGGATGGATGGAGTGTGAGAAAAGACCCCCAAGATCTGTCTGCAAGATGGACTCTGCCCTTTATTGGCCCCCAACTCCCCAGGAGCCAAGCGTTCCAGGTAGGGCTATGGCCCCATCTGATGGGGAAGAGGCCAGAGACCCCCAGCGGGCAGTCCCTCACACCAGAACACCTGGACTGCATCCACCTCTAGACCAGCATCTACCTCTTTCCTGTGGCCATGGGCTCCTGGGTGAGTTTCCAGGCTGGAGTCAGGCGCCTGGGGCTGATGGGAACAGGACTCAGGAAGCCCCCTCTGCCCAGTTGGCACTGCTATGGGCCTAGCAGTTACCAGCTTGAGGAAGTTCTTTCTTCAGGGGTTTCCCAAGCTGGCAGCTGCCTTGCAAGTTCAAACTGGATTTTTCCTGCTGCCCTTTTCCCCGGCGGCCTAGCCCAGTGCAGGGTCTCTCCTAATGAGGGTTTGGTGCCAAGGCCTGGGCAGCTCCATCCCACTGGATCCCAGCTGGTTGAGGCCTGCCCCAGGCAGTGGGCAGCTTCCCAGTCCCACCCAGGCCAGGACACCTGGGGCTGCCCTGCCTCCTTGCAGCCCCCACTGCCGCTTGCACTTCCCCTCCCACTGCCACTCAGGACCCCACACACAGGGACTCACTGACCCACCTTTATTGACGGTAGAGTTTACTATTAATGAAATTTCAGCCCAACAGGGCACAGGATCCCTGGACTTTTGTTCCTAGACTCAAGGCATTAACAGAGTTGACATGGCAGCCTGGGAGCCAGGGGAGGGCAGGGGGCCTTTCCTGGGGCTCCCGCAGGGCTCAGCTGCCCCCAGCTCAGACCCTCCCTGAAGCTGCTGGGGATGCACCTCACGTTGCCTCCTTCCGGAGGCCACTCTCTGTCCCACTTCCTGGGGCCTCATTAATTCCTCCCCACCTCACCCCGTGAGAAAGCAGGTCTGTGTTGAGCCTGGCCCAGGCCCAGAGGCGGGTCTGAGTGTGCCACTGCTTGGTTTGGGAGGCAGGGGGTGGGGTGGGTGGGGGACTTGCCTTGTTCCCACCTTCATCCCAAACAAGAAGACGGGGGCCTCCATCACCATCCACATCCTGGCCCCCCCTCCACTTTCCAGGAACCTAGGGTCCACGGAGACCAAGAATATAAAACACAGCTGGTCTTAAGTATAATATTTATAAAAGGGGCCTGCCAACCTCCCCACCCTGCCCCAGTCTGGCCCCAGGGGTCTTTGGCTCCCAGGGGCAGGACATCCTGGGCCCAGCCTCTCTCTTCTCCCGGCAGTGGAATGTGAGCTATGGCCCCGGCTTGGGGCAGGGGAGTCCCAGCCTCCCCAGGACCGGTGAAGAGATAGTGCAGGGGTCCCTTGGGGGTACACACACCAGCCCCACCCTCAGCAGAACCTGCTGGCTCCAGCCCAGCTGTGGGGTAGGGTGAGTCTCCTCCTGTGGAGAGGGTAGGAGAAGAGTATCTGAGGGCACAAGCCCAGGTGTCTGAAAGGGGCCTAGGGGTAGAAGGAGGAAAAGCCAGTGGCCTGGGGCAGATGAGGCCCCAGGGTGCAGACCGTGGCCTAGCGGCAGGGTGGGAGAACGGCTGCAGGCTTGGGTCCCAGCTCTATGTGCCCCTACAGGTTATGTGACCTCAGGAGGCAGCTGCTGGGCCTCAGAGTGTACATCTGTGCAAGGGTGGGTGGAGGGGCTTAGGTGGGATCTGAGATGACAGCCCCATCCTACTCCCATTTCAGAAAGCCCCTGTGGCTCTGGAGCCCAGCAGGATGGTAGCCCAAGGGCCTTGGTCCTGGCTTTTTAACAAAAACCTTCTGCAGAGGGGACATGGGGCCAAATGCCATAGTGTTAATCGCATCTTTCTCCTACCCCCACTGGCCACTGGGGGTGGAGTCCGGAGAGTCTGGGCAGGGGTGCTAGTCCAGGTAGACAGAACAGGATGGGTCCCCTAGTGGTTTCCTCCATGCTGGCCGGTCCCTGAGACCCAGTCAATGATGATGAAGCTCAAGCTCATGGTCATCAGCAAGAGGCCAAGCACAGCAAAACAAAGGGCCTGTGAGGTCAGAAGTCAGGGTCATGCCTGAGGCCAGGGCAGCCCCTAAGCCCCATACCAGCCCACCAGCCTCCAGGCCCCTCGCACCAGGATTTTGGGGGTGGATCTCACAGGTTCCTTCTCAGTGGGCACGATTCGGAAGTAGAAGATGGCAGGGAATATGAAGATGAGGCATGGGGCAGATGTGGCACCTGCAAAGAACAAGGCATGGCCACTGCTGGATCATGTTCACCTATTGGCTAAGGTTTGGGGGTGGATGCTTCGATGAGATCAAACATTCCTTGTTGAGAGAGTTTCACCTTGAGACTCCACTTGGGAGCTCTACCTGATTCTGGGAAGCCCACCAGCCTCTCCCCCTTGTTTTCTATCTGCCAAGATGGAAGGCTGGTGCTGTTGATGTCAGAATGTCAGTGAATGAAGCTAGTAATGAGGAAAGGCAAGTCAAGAGGTAGAGATAGACAAAGACTTAAGGATATTGGGCTCCTGGATACACCTATTCCTGAAGGCTTTTCCATTATTTGAGCCCATGCATTCCTTTCTGCTTACTTCATTGTGAGTTGGATTTTGGACACAGAACCAAGAATACTGTTCGTGATATCCATGATTCTCAGTCTCCAGGTCTGCTTGTCAGTCCCTGCAGAGTTGGGTTGGGGAGTCAGTCCCCTGAGTTGGGTCACCCCAAAGATATTTCAGAATTGGCTAATCTTCCAGCTCAGAGCCACATCTTGGATGAGGCAGTGGACAGAGTACCAAACCTGGAGTCCGATGATCCTGGGGCTGAATCAAGACCACGTGGCCCTGCTGCTGCTTTAATCACTTTGAACTTTAGTTTCCTCATATGTGAAATAGGGACAAGACGTAATGAAATCCTTTGTGGAGGGCCTTGGCCCCTGGGGTCCACCCCTGTCCTCTAGCAAAGGGGACTGACTCAGCGGTTCTGAGCCCTCAAAAGGGATTAGAATTGCCTTAAGGACAAAAGCTCAGATGGGAGGCCAAACTGTGCACATGGCCAACAGCTATCACTTAAATATAGGGTGTGAGCTCAGGAATCTGCCAGGATTTACAGAAGTGTAAATCTCTGGGGCAATACCCCACTTCCACAGCAGGGCCAGATCCTCACCAATGACCCCGAAGATGCCCAGGATGTTGGGGGCGAAGATGACCAGCAGGTTGATACAAGCGAGCAGGCAAATGGCAATGATGATGTGCCGCAGCCAGCTGAACTCCTGGTTTTGAAACAACATCTGCTGGATGGCACGGCGCACCTGGGGGCAAGTGGGAAGAACCATCAGCCTGTCAGCACCATCAGCCCCACCCCCTCATTGGTCTGGCCACCTGCCCACTGGCTCACCGGGAACAGAACGATTGGCACTGTGAGTGTGACCGCTGTCAGCACGGCCACACGCACACACAGGATCAGCACATCAAATGCATCCACCTTGTTGTAGGTGTGCAGCAGCTCCGACTCCACCCCGTCTGCGGCAGGCAGGGAGGGTGGTCAGCAGGTGGCCCAGGAGGGGGCTGGGATCTGAGCTACCTGGTAGACCCTGACACTGTAGGGAGTGGCACTCAGACTCACCTCCACAGCTGCAGAGCATAGTCAGGCATCACATACCTAATGAGCACCTACGGTATGCAGGGCACCATGGCCACTGACCAGCCCCTAGCCCCCAGCCTGACCTCAGCCTCTGCCCACTGGCCCAGTCATACCATAGAAGGTGAGGTAGCCGAAGAGGGCAGCCAGGAAGTACATGATGTACATGACGGTGATGGACAGGTTGGCAATGTGCTGCATCTTCCTCTTGGAGGGGCTATGGGGCAGTGGGGGATGGGCACTGGTGACAAGCTCGGCCACACTGGGTGACTCCATGTGCCCCAGGGTCTCTCTGGCACCACATCCTCATCATTCAGCAGCTGAGGGAGCCTGCTTCTTGCCCCAATCTCCCCTCATGGCAGCCACAGAGATCTTAAAGTGACTTGCCCCCTGTCACCCCCTACTCACCCCCAGGACCACATCCATTCTCCCCAAACCAGCTCAAGGCAGCCCCACCTCCTCCCAGCCACAGACACCTACTCCTTGAGCTCCGTATAGATGGGCAGCACCTCGGGGTGGCAGACAAAGGCGAAGGCCATGATGGGGATGGTGTATGCTGTCTGGGGACACATGGGGCTGTGTCAAGGCAGCCCCCTGCCACTCTCACCAGGCCCCCTGTCCCTCCCTGGCCTGTCAGAACCTGTGAGTTGAGTACGAAGTAGCTCGGGGTGCAGAAGGCTGCAGTGTCAGTCTCCACCTGCAGCTGCACCTTCTCCTCAAAGACCTCCACGTGGCTGGAGTTGGCTGTGATATTGGCGAGGTTGGGGGGCAGCGGGCAGGGCACATGAAACTTTTTGTAGATGACCTGGCATGGGGAGGGATCAGGGTATCAGAGCCGGGCTAGGCTGCCGGGAAATCACCATGAAGCTGCACGTAGGTCAAGACTGGAGCAGCTGCCTTCTGGCCCAGGCTGCCCAAAGAGACCTGCCCCTCCCTGACCTGCCGCCTCCCTTGACCAACATGGAGTGTGACTCACTGCAATTAGGAAGAACACCATACAGCTGAGAGAGAAGCCACTGGAGTAGCCCAGGTAGCCTGCAAAGTGGAGGGGGCTGTGAGACGGGGGGCTCCCTCCTGGGCATCCCTCCAACATCCCCCCAAGACCCTGCCCTACCACACTCACCAAGCTGCCGCATCAGTGCCAGGGGCAGAATGATGATGACAGAGACCAGGATCACTAGGTAATTGCCATTCATGTACCAGTCTCTGCAGGGACAGCAGTGGGGAGCCAGGATCAGAATCCACTCGGCCTGGGGTAGGGCCACCTGCCTCCCCCAGTTGGAGCCACCAGTGGTACCACTGAGTGACCTCCAAAGAATATTTGTCCACAGCTCCAAGTTTCCCTTTCCCCATCTGCAAAATGGGCATACTCTCAGTGCTCTCCTTCCCGGTGATGTGGGGATGAAGGTGCTGGCCTGGCACGTGGCTCACACTTGGTAATCAGTGTGATTATAGTCACTGCTGTTTTTCTCAGGACACACAGGTGTGGGCCCAGCCTCTTGAGAGAGGTGGTTGGGATGAAGGGAGCTGGCTCTGAAGGGGACAATGTGTTCCATGGGGATCTCAGGGACTTGCCAACAACCTGTGCCCCTTGTAGTTCCTTCTGGCACCTAGACCTCGCATTATCCTGCCGCCTCCTCTACCCCCCAGGAATGTTCAGGGGCACAGGGAGACAAGGGGATAAGGGCCAGGACCATCCTTCCAGGGAAAGCTCAAAGGCCAACTCCTTGAGAGAGGCCCCCAGGGCCCCAGGGGCAGAATCTTGACTCCCCCCACGCCCAGAGCTGCTCTGAGCCTCACAGCCCCTCTGCTTGCCCAGGCTGGGCCGCCAAGAGCAGGGCCTGTGTCCTCTCTGCCCCCACCACAAAACCCAGCTGATGCGCAGCCGGCGCAGGCTACAGTGAGGGGCAGCTGGGACACCCTGGGCTTAATCTCCTGGGGGGGCTGACCCCACGGTCAGGAATAGCAGGCGCTTAGAGCTAAGCCGAGGCTCTCATGCTCTCAGGCTGCGTCCGGGCCCAGGAGGGGCCCAGCTTCCTCAGCTTCACCCTGCCCCTAGCCCCACATGTCCCCTCCCTGGGGGTTTCCCTGGGTGCTTCATAAACAAGTGTAGACTGAATGTTGGCTCTGCTGGCAGCTCTCTGCCCCCCACCAGCCACTTGTCTGCTCTGTCTTGTCTCTCTCGCTAGCGTGGCCTGGGCCCCCAGGGCCAGTGATGGGCTTGGAGTGGTGGGCTAGGGCCTCCCACCCCACCCAGCCGGCCCCACCCCAGGCTCACGAGCTTTTCTCCTCCAGGTTCAGGAAGGTCTGTATGACAAGGGGCAGCTCGGACTTGATGATGTACAGGTAGCTGGACATGGCTGAGGGGAGAGGGGTAGGGAGGTGCTGGGGTCAGCCAAACCAGTCAGCCTTTGGGCCCATCCCCTGCCCGCTGCCTGCCCACCCCCTGCCCACTGGTATCACCTCCAATGTTCTGCAGCATGATGGCCAGGGCTGCCGCCAGCTTTCCTGGGGTCCCAAAGGCACGGTAGCCCAGCTGCTCATAGGCACGGATGCCTACAGGAGCAGGGGTCAGGAAGTCAGGGGAGCTCACCCCAGGCCACCCCCACCGCCAGCGCACTCCATGCGGTGTGAGGCTCACCCACAATCCCTGAGGACTTGAGTAGCAGGTGGATGGAGTAGCTGGAGACCAGAGCGACAGCTGTCAGCAAGAACCTGGGAAACATGGGAAGATGGATGAAAAGAGGCCACTGGGGGCTCCCCTGGCTGCTAGGGAGCAAGGGACTCTGGGAGGCCTGGGTGTGGGCGGTCTGTGACTTGGCTGTCTGGACCCCCCAATAGATATGGTTGCTAGCTCAGCAGGCCCTGGAGTGGTGAACACCAACCTGTTTGACCCAGGATGGGACAAGCCCAGAAGGGCCCTCTGGGTCAAGAGTGCCCCCATGACTGCCCTCTGAGCACTTCTTCCTCTTTAATGCTTGGGACAAACATGTTTTCCATTCAGGCTGCAGGGCAGAGCCCCTGGGCAGAGGACACGTGTGCCCACACGAGGCCTGGCCATGGGCTTGGCCATCACGTGTAAAGGTGGTAGAAGGACATACTCAGGCCTGTAAGGCTGGCCCTGTGTTGCGACCTCAATGGGTCTACTGGGCAGTGAGGAATATTCGTCTGGCCATGGATGTTTTTTCAGTGTGGTTTGGGTTTACTTTAAGAAGTGCCCACCCACTGCAGCCTGGGCCTTGGGACAGGGAACTGGTGAGTCATGGGAGGTCACATTAGAGGCTTGTTTAGGGCTCCCCGTTTTAGAAGTTTTGCCGAGGACACTCACAGGAAGAGGATGATGCCTGTGTTGGCCATGGCATAGGCGAGCCCCAGGATGCCGCTGCCCATGATGGCATTGCTGAGGTTGAACACTGACATCCCGAACGATGTCTTCCCTTCAAACTGCAGGGACCAGAGTGGGAAGGTGAGGGGTGGGGGAGTCAGCTAGGCACAGAGGCATCGTGGGTTCCCCTCACCATCCCTCAGCCTCCTGCTGCTGCCCCACAGCACCTCATTACTGCACCCAAGCCCCCCACAGTGCCCCCAAGCCCCCCATTGCTGCCCAGCTCACGTCAGTGAAGTGAGGCTCTTTGCTGGGGCTTTTCTGGAGGAAGCCCTTGCCCTCACCACAGCTCTGTCCGGAGTCCTCAACCCTGCAGGCACAGGCCAGGGCAGGCGGCTCAGCTCTAGCCCTTTGCTCCATACCCCTGCCCTGCCCTGTCCTGAACCACTACAGGGTCCCTCTTCTACTCACCTCTGGTTGCCTGCCGTGGGGGTGACGGCTGGGAGTAGCCCCTCTGAGTGTTTGCCGTTGGGCACCAGCTCCACCATCTCTGTCTGCAAAGGTGCTTCCATGGCTCAGGGAGCACCACCAGGAGCACTGCTCTCACACCAACACAGAAGTCTGCAGAGCAGACGGTCCCTCTGGTTATGCCCCTTCTTTGGGCCCAGGGCCCAGCCTCCTACATGAGGCCCGCAGCTATAGCACACCTCCCAGAGGGTAACTCAGGACATATGTGCACACGCAGCTCTGCCTGCTGCCTCCCTGGCTTCTGCCATTGGGGGAAGAGAGCTCAGACACCTGAGTTCCCCAAGACATCCTGATGGGACACTTCAGCCGGTACGCAATGCACCCTCTACACACACACCAGCCCAGGCAAGCCCTTGAGGCCTCACTTTCCCCATCTGTGAAGGGTCATCTGGATGACCTGAGTTCAGAGCCCAGTGGCACCAGGATCCCTGGATGCTGAGTCCCAGGCCCCCAGACTCCACTCTGGGTGTGCATCCTGGACACACGCCCCCTCTCTGACATTAGTACTGGGAGATGGTTTCCTGCACTGGCTCTGTGTGCCAGGGGCCTCCTGGCCAACCTAGAATGGCACTGCCCGACGGCTGGAGGCCTTGGGAGAGGGTGCGGGCTGTGGGCCCTGTTCCCAGCCGCCCGGCGGGCACTGTTGGCATCCAGAACAAAGGGCCCTCTGTGGGCTGAGATCTGGCGCTGGGAACGGCAGGCGCAGAGGCTGTCCCCCCCTGGAGCCAGGATGCCTGAGGCGGTGCTGGGTGGCTGGACACCTGGGCCCTTCCCGCCTGGCTGTGGCAAAAGGCCCTCAGGGGGCCTTCCAGGAAACGGGTGCTCCAGGGCCCAGTTCTCTGGGCTACACAGGCCTTACCTTCCACATAGCCCTGGCCTCAGGGCCATGTTCTCCTTCAAGCCTCTCCTCCCCTGCCAGGGAACCCCCAACCCTCAGGTGCCCACCATCAGAAGTGGACCCTCTGAAAAGACCCTCCATTTCCTGGAGCCCCAGGCCAGGAGCTCAGGCCCTTGGCCAGCCGTGGGGGAGCCTGGATCGCCAGGTCAGTGCCCTGTCCCTATTCTCAGGCTTGGCTCTGCTCTGGGCCTCAAAGGAATCCCTTGCCCCCCATCCCTGCCACTGCCCAGACAACTCACTGGCCCTCTCCCAACACTGGGGCCAGGAGGTGTCTACCTCATACCAAGAAGTAACTGGGCATAATGCCCTCAGGTTCTGTAAGGACATCCTGAAGTCTAGACTGGCCAGCAGGAGAGCTGAGGCCAGAGTGGAGACCAGAGAGGGTATAACATTTCCAGGCAGGATAGCTAGAGCCCAGTCCTAAAGCCATAGCACCCCATCTCCTTGGGAACCCCGAATCCTGCCCCAAATCTCCCATCCCAACTCCAGGCCCTGATGCTCTCAGGTCTTCCCTTGCATTTTGAGCACCAAGGGGGCTCAAACTTAGCACTCAGGACTGGGGGTGCACAGGAGAGGTGAGGCTCAGGCCTCTGGCCCTGGTGCCCCAGAGGCAGCAGCCACACACCACTGACCAGGGACTCCTCTCCTGTTGCCGCAGGCAGCCCCAGGCCAGAGCTCACTTTGGGCCTGGAGACCCCACACTTGGCACTCTTGCACCCCTCAAACCTGCTGGTATCTGAACCCTCCTCTCCTTCTAGCCCCGCCCACTCAGGACAATGACAATGTTAACATCTCTTCTTGAGCCCTCTTCCCCTAGACCAGAGTTCCCCAGGTCAGCCTGTCCTCATGCCCCTGCCCTCAGCCCTGCCATCTGCACCCCTCCAAGGATCTCACCTGGGTGGAAGTGCCAATGCCTGGTCTCCAGAGTCACTCCAAAGTGCCCCTGGCACTCAGCTAGGGTTGCCCTCACTTAGCACCCTGCCCTGGGCAGGCTTGGACAGGCCCTCAGAGTGTGCTGAGTTGGCAGCCTGGACAAAGCACCCTTCTCTGACTAATATCCTTCCTAGCAGCCGGGCACTGCCTCCAGGGAGACCACGGTCTGTGGCATGGGCGTGGGAGGTGTCTGAGGTCCTGGCTCCAGTTTCCCCAGCCCCTCTGCAGGACCTGGGCCTAGACCTTTGGGGCCTGGTGGCTATGACTCATCACCAGTCATTGCTGAGTCTTGGGCTGGCCTGAGATTGCAGAAAGGACATGGAATACCCTTCCTCAAGTGACCCCCAGCCTGGAAAGGACAACACCCCTCCAAATACCACCCTCACCACCACCCTATAGCTCCTGCTGAAACTGAATATGAGCCACATAGTGCTGGGACTCAAAAAAGCAATGATGGGGGCATCAAGGAAGGCTTCCTAGAGGAGGTAGTAAAGCCAGTCCTAAAATTCCAGGAGCCCCTGAGTTGTGCAACAGGAAAGAATGCTTTAGGCAGAGGGCACAGCATAGGCAGAGGCCCTGAGCGAGGTATGAGGCAGGCCATGAGGGTGGAGTGAAGGTTCCATGGCTATAGGTAAGCCTGACAGAGCCTTAAAGGCCAGGCCAAAGAGTCTGTACGTCTGTCTAGGGCAGAAATGAAGGCTGGGGTCTACAGTGGGGATTAGCTCAGGTGTGGCATGTGGGCCACAGCCATTTCCTGCGACTTGACAGCTCCCATCCCTCAGACCTGCTGCCTCCCAGGCTCCTGTGTGTCGGTGAATCAGGGCAAACTCAGGGAGAGCACCAGGTAGGAAAAGCTGCCAGCAGAGCCCGATCCACTGTGGTGAAAGCCCAGAGTAGACACTGAGTCTATGTCCTGGCTTGGCCCTGCCTCACTGTGACCAGGGCCAGAGTAGCCCCACTCAAGACCTCGGCATCCCTCTGTCCTCTAGGGGTCCCTCGAGGCTTGGCCAAAGCTGCAGACAGAGTGAGGGCAGGCCATGGAGGCCCAGAGAGGGGCCTGGTGCTGGGGCAGGGAGATTATGCGGCCTGGGGCAGGACATCAGAATGGCATCTTTCATGGGTGCAGCATGGGCCTGGGCAGTTAATTGATGGCCCAGGCCACTGCCCTAGGACGTGTTTGCCCTGCTGGGAGATAAGGGCCAGGAGGAGCCAGGAGACACAGGGATGGGACAGCAGGTAACACCTGCCCACGCGGACATCACAGGGTGAGAAGTCGTCAGGCACACCTTGGCAGGTGTTGAGTTTGGCTAATTAAAGATTTTGAGGCCTAGGAATCCAGGCCACCTTGGGACAGCTGCTTGCATCAGCCTCTACAGGAAGGGCACACCTCTCTGTCCAAGGATCAAGGTCCTTGGAGTCCCAGGACTACGAGCGCTGCTTTCCTTCCCAACAACGTTCAGAGATATAAGTGGGGGTTTGGTAGTGGACTGGCTACAGGGAAGTATCCACACTGTCCTTCCCTTGGTCCTGTGGCCACATGCACTGATGGGGACAGACCCCATGGAACTTGCTGTGCCTAGGCACCCCTGAACTCGGCCCAGATCTCAGGGGAGAGGCAGCTGGCCTGGCCTGAGGGTCCAGTGTGCTCGTCCCTGGGGGCTCAGGTCTGAGGACTGCCCTAGCTCCAGCTCAGCTTATCCTTTCCTCCCTCCTCCTTGGCTGAGACAGGGTGCCTCTCCCAGCTTGGTATCCATCTGGACAGCTACCCCTCTGTCCACTTGCTTCTGCAGGCTTCAGAGGGAAAGCACCCCCTCCTAGGACAAGCCATCGGCAAGTGGGGAAAGAGGATGCAATTGACATGTTTGAATTGTATGTTCACAAGGCACAACCACAGGGACTGGTGGGAGCTGAGGTCAGGGGTCCAGGGATAGGGCAAGTGGGAGGAGGGTGTTAGAATAGGGAAAAGACACCCCTTGCCCCTCCCCCAGACCCACATCCCCATATTTTGACCCCAATAAATTCCAGTCCCCCATCTGCCACTCCCTCATCATCAATAACACAACAACAATGCAAGCGTGTGACCAACACTGGGCTGGTACTGAAGGGGTGACATGCAGGAGGGGGCATATCCAGGGAAAGGCAGATGGCCCAGAGCATTGACATACTGGCCACACCAATCCTTCATCCCCCCACTCCCTGGCCCTGGGATCTGAGATCTGTGCCTCTGTGTTCTGGGCATCCGGAGGTATCTAGGAGGATCTGAGAGGCCCAGCTGGGACCGGAAGGTAGACTTTCCTGTGACAGGGTACATTTTCTAACAGATGCTTATAGTTGGGCCTAGCTCCAGCCACCTCGGTCTCCCCTCCCACCCAGCCCTGGACCCTCCAGCAACCTCCCAGTAGAGGTTGCAGCCAGAATCTCTTGGTTCAAGACTCGGCCAGAGCCAGCAGCAGCCCCCTCCCCCACATTGCCAGCCTGCTGAGAGGGACGTGCAGCCTGAGGCCCTGCTGAGGCAAAGGACAGGACATCACGTGACTGTGGCCCCCCAGGGGCAGGGGAGACCCTGCGCCAGCCAGCCCATCCTCCTCCCTGCTGACCCGGAATCCCCTGGAGGCAGCCAAATATTTGGACAGCCGGACTTCTGGCCCCAAAGAAAGCTGGAGCACAGGCCTCGGGCAGTTCAGGACTCACTGGAGACCCCAATGGGGGGCTAAAGGCAAGGTCAGCCTGGAGGAGGGGTGATGTCCAACGTTAGGAAGAAGCAGAGCAAGGCAGAGGGAAGGAAGAGAGACAGACAGGGAGAGCGCAGGAGAAAAGACACAGACATTAGATATATGTGTCCACGCATACTGACCCACAGAGAGAGACAGACAGACAGACAGTCCAGGGAGATGAAGAAATGCAGATGGATATAGAGGGACACAGACAGAAAACAACAGAGAGTGAGGACAAAAATCCTATATAGGTGATAGACACTCAGGGCGATGGAGAGAGACAGAGACAAGCAGAGAAGCAAGGAATAGAGAGGTGACCGGCCCATCAGAGACAGCCAGCTGGAGAAAGAGACAGAAACAATGAGGGGCAAAGACAGCCCACAAGACAGATAGAGCCCCGGAGAGGCAAGAGATGGGGAGGGAGCCAGAAGGCTTAGGGGAGAGGGAAGCAGACCCAATGAGCACTGCAGGGATGGCCAGGCAGGATCCCAGAGAACCCTACAGGAGGCCACTGCTGCATCTCCAGGTCCCCACAGGGCAGGTTATGGCCCTACCAGCCAGGTGCAATTACATCCAGAGGCTGGGGCTGAGCCCACTAGGGCCACAAGGCCAGGCCCAGCTGGAAAGTTCAGAGACCCCTGATCTAGCACCCAGCGTTTGTCTACCTGAACAATGGAAAAGACATGCAGAGATGATGGTCAGCTGGAGTGACCCCCATTCTCAGCAGCCATGCACGTGTGCAGACGTGCTGGCTGAGAGGCTGTGTACAGGACGTGGCCCGCAGAGCGGAAATTCAAAACCAAGCCACCCCAGGCCACTGGCCGGAAAGCCCCTCCTGCCCCAGCAGCTGGTCCTTCCCTTTGGCCCCCAGAAGCCCGGCCTGGTCCTCTGCTCGAGCCCCACCCTGTTCTGCCGTGTCTGTCTTCCCATCCAGAGTGAAAGACCCATCCTTCACCACTAGACTGAGTGTACACAAGGCACATAGTAGGTGCTCAGTAAATGTTGTTAAGTGAGTGGAATGCATTCAGGGCCCTCACAAGCCCTCATCCTATCTTACCTGCTCCAAGTGAGGCCCAGCCCTGGCCCTGCCTGCACTAGAACATCCTCCCACAGGGCCCCCATTCTACTATGGCACAGGCTGCACAGCCTACCCCAGCTTTTTGTGCACACAGATGCCAAAACTGTACCTCCCTGGTAGCCAACCAGCCCCACTCCCCTGCAAACAAGTTTTCCCTTCAAACTGATTGCTTGTCCCACACCTAGTCCAGACTTCTGGAGTGTGCTCACTTCAGCCTAAAATCCTTCCCTCAGCCACCCAGAGACCATGAATCACCCAGCCTGTCTGTTGTGACTCAGTTTCTCCATTTTCCCAGGGCTCCAAGGCTGCTTGCTAGGACAGTGGCATAAGGACAGGAGCAACCAACTCTCATGGTCTGGCCACCTGGAGCCCTGGACTGGGGTGGGGACAGTTTGTGATGGGAGCCAAAAGAACCAGCATACAACAGAAGCTGAGAGGCCAGTGAGGACCTGGGCTTCATGGGCCCAGGCAGAATGAAATCCTGAAACACACACTCCCATCCTCCCCAGAGATGCAGTCCCCTGCCTCCAACCCCAAGAAGTCAGTCAGAGATTCTCATTCCTGATTTCACTTATTCCAGCCCTCTCAGAGATGTGCCAGACTTGGCCTCACCCATTCCTGATCCCTCCCACCAGCAGTGCTTCCTACAGGAAGGCTTCCATGCTTGTGCTCAACTTCCCCCATTCAAAATGAAATTGTCCTTGGATTTCTTTAGCTTTCTCTCCCTCAAATTAAGATCCCCAAGGAATTCACGCCTTTCCAGAAGGAAATGGCTCCATCCTAGACGTTTACTGAAAAGGAAGGGGTGGAAGGTCCAAGGGCTGCTTCCAGGGGCAGCACAGTAGTGGTGGCAGTCACAGAAGGAAGGACAGGACTGGCAGGCTGAAGGAAGGATGCGCATGGATGGAAGTACCCTCCACGGTGTTCCCCAGGGATCAAGGGCCTTGACTTAGCCCTCTTCAGACCTGCTTGGGAGCCCATACCTGGGCCCAGGCTCAGGTCACTGTAGGGGGGAAAGGGCGGATCCCCATAGGCCCCGCCCCTGGCCTCCCCCTCCCTGGCTGTAAACAAACGCACGCATTCGAGATGGCCAATCGATTGGGCCAGTCGGGCGGCGGCGGGCTCCTGCAAACCAAGTCTGCGTCCCTTCCCTGCCCGGGCGCGCGCGGACTCGTACTTGCACCAGACCTGGGCGCCAGGTGGGGAGGAGCGCACACGGTGCCGCCCTCAGGCAGGAGAGCCACGCGCGCCCTGTGCCCGCCGTGCCCGCTGGCTCCGCTGCAAATGGCACAGGTTCTGGGGCCAGCATGTACCCCGGGGCCCCTCAGGCGGCCCGGCCCCATCTGCCCTCAAGCCCCTGTCCAATGCAGCCGGGATAAATATACCCGGATTCCGGGAGTGCCAGCCTGGCCGCTCTGCCTGTCAGGCGCCCGTCGGGGCAGCGCTCCAGGGACTGCTCCAGGCCCCTCTTGGGTCCTCCTCCGGGACCCTCTCCAGCCTGTCCCGGTGGGCGTAGCCTCAGGAAGCCCATCGGGTACCACTCTAGCCCCCGATAAGGCGTCCTGTGGCCCCGCCCCGAGTGCCACCGACCTCCTCTTGTTCTGCTCAGGCCCCGCCAAAAAATGTCCCGCCCCGAAGCGACGAAGTGTCCCTCCTGGTACCCCTCTCAAGCTCAGAGCTGAGTCCCGACTGGCGGGTCCCTTGACCCGCGCCCGGAGCGCGCGGTGCTTTGGCTTACCGGAGGCTGGGGCTCCTGCTGGGGTTACGGCGGGAGGAGGAGCTGCTCAGAGCTCGGCTATGGACCGGAGGGTGCACAGAGGACTCAGCACCCCCGGTGCCCCTGGATTGGTGGGTCGACGCCCGCAGCGGTACCTGGCCTCACGGTTGGGCACGCGCGTAGCTGGGCTCCGACTGGCGCGGTCTGCTCTGCTCCCGGCTGAGTGCAGGGCAGCAACAGCGACAGCAGCGGCCGGGGATGAAGGGCGCCCGGCCCCGCCCCCGGCCTGCCCCCGGCCCGCCAATCCCCTGCTGTCCGCGGGAGGAGGGGCTGCTCCGGGAGGCGCCGGGGCCGGGGCAAACCCGGAGCAAAGGGGCAGCCGAGCGCCAGGGAGCCCCCTAGGTAGGAGGGCAGCTGCTCTGGGAGGGGCTCAGTTGAGTCTTGCGGAGGGAATGCTTCCGTCCAAAGCAGATTCTTTCTGAGATCTCTGAGTGTCACCGTAACCCCTGAAATGCTCTGCCCTCACCTCCCTGAAGCCAAAAGGGGATCTCCAGCCAAGGGGAGCGGGAACAGGGCAATGCTTAAGCTCAGCGAAGAGTGTTTGAATGGGGGACTTTCAGATACCACTCAGGCAATAAAATACCTTTCTACCTGCCTCACCCTTCCCAACCAGGGAAAAACTTCTTGTATCAATTTTGTCTTCACCCCAGATGTTTAGAAGAGATTGAGGCTGGAACAAACAGAAGCAGAGACAGTGAGGACAGGAGGGAAGCAAGGCTTGGCTTGCTGTGAGCCTTGCCTGGGGCCTCACTGCGCCTGGTCCCATTTCCTTATTTCGAAGGTGTAGGAGACAGCTGTCAGCCTGCCCATGGGAAGTGGGGACCAGGACTCCGTGCCCTGGCAGGAGCGATGTTAGGTTGGCCCCATTCTTGGCTAGAGGCTCCTATCCCACTCCTGCCTGCTTCCCACCTAGGGCCTTGGTGCTCAGGGATGGGTGGTGGGTGGTGGGTGTTGAGGTCCCAGGCCCACCTGGAGGGAGCTGGGGGAGACATTGACCTTCAGGGTGAACTGGGCGGGGGTGTCCCAGAGCAACTGTGCCCCTTGCTTCTCAGTCACTGGCTCTGATCCGATTAATCCCATGGCCTCTGCTGTTCCTATCCAAGCTGGTCTTCTGTGTCATGTCTGCCCCTCTTCTCGCAGAGGATATCCCTAACCCCTTCTCTGCCCTGAGCTGGGAGTCAGGACTCCGGGATTCTCTCCTGCTGACTCACAGCACCACCACAGCCAAGCCAAGCCCTAGCATACCTCAGTTTCCCACTGTGTCACGAGGAAATGGCTCTGTCTTTTCTTCTGGTCTGAGGGGAATGGGTGAAGGGTAAGCTGTGAGCCAGGGGCAGGGGCTCGGCTCTGGCCGGGAGTGCCAAGGGCTGGGAGGGCTAAAGAGAAAGGCATTGGGATGGTGGCAACCCCTGGAAACATCAAACCACCCAAGCTCCTGCCTTGCCAGTGGCTGGAAAATTGGAAGGGACTGAACTGGGGCTGATGTAATCCTGGGATCAGAGTTCATCTTGATCATGGGGGCCCAAGAGACTCTCACCCTCCAAAAGGGCATGATTCTGCCAGACAGGAGAGGTGCCCACTGTGGTCTCATGTCTGCCCCTTGCCTCCCACCTGAAGACACACTGGATACTCACAGGGGCCATTTGTAAAGGGCTGGTGGCTCCCACTAGCAGTGCCTAAGGGGCCAGGCCTGACTCAAGGTCACCCGGCATGTGGGTGTTGGGGTCCTCAACCAGCCTGAAGGGAGCAGGGGCTGGCTGGGCTGCTGGGGAGGCCCAGAGTTGGGTGTGATATGGGGTCCTCAGGCCAGTTGTGGCCAGGCTCAGGGAGGGGCTGCATGTTTGTTGTTGCTAGGCCTGGGCCCTGGCCAGGGCAAACACAGCTCAGAGGCCTTTCCCCACCACCTGCCGAATCTCCCAGCCCAGCTTGTGGTGGCCAGACAGCTGGGCAGCTGGGACGGGTCTCTGAGAGCTGCCGGGTGCCTTCTCCCAGAGGCCAGAGGGAATGTCCCTCCATGCAGCCGCAGTGTTGGGGTCAGCCACCTGGGCTGGAGGGTGGGGGAAGCTTGATTTCAGGCTTCAGCCCAGCTCCTGCCTCTACTCCCCCATCTCTGCAAACTTAAACACAGGCCCGGGAGACTGCCAGACACGTGGGGCAGAACTTAGGGTCCCAGGATTGCTCAGACCCTCCTTGCAGGGCCCCACAGCCCTTTGCTCTCTCCCTCCCTCTCTCGTCATGAATTCTCAGCCCTCAGCTGGGCAGCCCCTTCTCACCATGCCACCCCCTCCGCTGGCACACCATCCACATAGTGCCCCAAGACCATCTCCAGCAGTGACGCCTCATCTTCACCTCCAACCTGGCCCTTCCAGAGCCCAGCTTCTGTATCCACTGACTCCTCGCACAGCCTGCAGGCTCTTGCGCTCACCGGCTGGCCTCCCTGATGTCCCCCCAGCCCACTCCCAGGGGCCTCTCCACCTCCTCCACCGCCCTGCTGACCACACGCACATTCCTGCTGTTTGCAGAACATGTCAGCCTTCGTGCTCCTGTGTCTCTGCCCTCGTGGTTCTCAGAGCCCAAGGTTCCCCACGGTGTCCCACTTCCTTGGCAGACTCCTACTTGTCCTTCAGCAACCAAATGAAAGATCCCCCCTGAGAACCCTGCGTGAGTCACCAGGGAGAGCCAGTTATTCCAATACCTGCTGTGCTGCTCTTGCCATCCCACCCACAGTTACAGCCAGGGTCTCCTAGTGCTGTCTATGGGTGGTCTGCATGGGAAGCCCCGGCCAGGCTGGAGGGCATGAATCAAGGACAACCTGGTGGAGAAGCAGCCTCTGGGCTTGGCTCTGCCAGGGGAAAGGAAAGCACATGGCAGGGCAGGGAAAGAAAGGGCAGCCTGCATGGGGGAAATGGCTTGGTCGAAGGGACAGGGAGTATGAGCATGAGGTTGCCAAGGGTAGGTGTGGGGGTGAGAGTAGGGCGCTTGTTCCACAATCATGTTGGGGGGTTAGAAGGCCTCACGGGAGAGTGGTTACCTCCACACTCCAGGGTCGAGTACCCACACCCACAGCTCCTGACTATGCTCTGCTCAGTTTGGTCCCTGGGAGGCTCCACTTTGGCCATGAGCAGGGGGTTAGTGTCACAACACAAGGCGTGGAAATATGGAGGGGCCCACTGGCAAACCTCCTCTCTAGCCCTTCCCCAGCCTGGGCCCCCAGAGCTGGTGACCTCTTGGCCAAGGCCTGCCCCTGCAGCCCTGGCGTGACTGCCCTCTCTCCCCTGAGACCTGGCCCCTGGCTTTTCTGGCCACTGAAGCGGCTTAATGAGCCCTGGTCACATGGGCTGTGCTACTGCCTGTGGGGAGGGCTCAAACCCCCAGTGGCCACCCGGCCAGGCCCTGACGTCAGCGGCATTAACCGTACACCAGGCTTGTCTAATCTCTGGTCGGCGGCTGGGCCAGGTTAGTGCCGCCAGAGCCAGAGCGGAGGGCCATGGGGTCCTCAGGGACACCTTGAGGTTGTAGGTTAGGCAGGGATGGTGGTGGTTAGAAGTACCCACAGTAAATACGCCCCTCCCAAAGACTAAGGTGTGGCCACTGTGCTGTGGGCAAGCTCTCTCTGATCCTCTGCCCTGGCTGTGAATCAGGCATCAGGCACCCATTGATCCTGTTCCGTAGGGTGTAATTACACTGGTGTGGTGAGTGGGGCTGAGCAGGCTTCAGGCTGGGAGACTCAGGGGACCCTCACACATGCTGGCCGTGGACAGGGCAGTTGGAGGCCAGGCAGCGAACCCGACCTACAGGATCCGGGAATATCAGTCCTGAATCCCAGAACCTTGAGCCAGAATGATGTGTGGGAGGAGACTCCCTGGAGGGCATGGCCCAGCTCCTGCATATTGTTTGGGCCCTTCTCTGTCCCTTGCCCAGGAAGGCTGGGGAGCTCACTACCTTTCTTCCAAGACAAGGCAGCTGTTCAGAAGGCACCATTGATCCACCTCTCCTGACAGCTTCCTCCCTCTCAAGCCTAACACTTCTAGCTCCTCAAGGCCTCCTATTCTCTGCCTTGCCTCTGCACACTATATCCCTGTCACTACCCCCTGCCCCACCTCCCTCCAGTAAACTGCTCAGGGAGAGGGTCCTTAGTAGAGATGAGTATCCCCAGCTCAGTGAGGCCTAAGACCAGCCAGCAGGGGTCCAGCACCAATGGCCAGAGTTCCATCCTACCCTCAGGCTTCTGAGCAACACCCACGTGGGTGCCCACATGTGTGCTGGGCCCCCTAACCTGTCCAGTGTTCTTCTTGTGCTCAAGCCTGAGTGCCCTCACTCTCCCTTCTCCAGTCCCCACAGAGTCACGGTCCCCCTCCAGCTGGACGTCAAGGATGTTGCCTATACTCGGCTTTCTATTTTTTTAGTAGAGACGGGGGTCTCGCTTTTGCTCAGGCTGGTCTCGAACTCCCGACCTTGAGCGACCCACCCGCCTCGGCCTCCCAGAGTGCTAGGATTACAGGCGTGAGCCACCGCGCCCGGCCTATGCTTGGCTTTCTGCCCAGCCCTGAGTGTCTGTCTGCCTCCTGAACATCTCCCCCAGGTGGCCACAGCTCCTGCAAACTCAGCCCATCCAACACTCCCTTGCAGTCCAGGCTTGGTGGCGATGTCTTGTGTGCTTGATCAACTGCACAGACCCAGATCTCTGTCGCTGAGCTCCTCACCTTGCAGACCCAGGCTCTCTTGGGTAACAAAGACATGGCCTATGCCTCATGGGTCCACCAGTCCCACTCCCTTCCTTGCCCATGCCCATACTGGCCCCCAGGAAAAACATGTGCCCCTATATACACGTTTTTTGCTTGTTTTTGGTTTTTTTTTAGAGGTGAGATCTTGCTCTGTCACCCAGGCTGGAGTGCAGTGGCACAATCATAGCTCACTGGAACCTCAATCTCCTGGGCTCAAGCAACCCTCCTGCCTCAGCCTTTCAAGTAGCTGGGACTACAGATGCACACCGCCACACCTGGCTAATTAGAAAATTTTTTTGTAGAGATGGGAGTCTTGCTATGTTGTCCAGGCTGGCCTCAAACTCTTGGGGCTCAAGTGGTCCTCCCGTGTCAGCTTCCCAAGTCACTGAAATTACAGGTGTGAACCACTGTGCCTGGCTCTCTTATATACATGTTTTTATGAAAATTTTTAATGATTGTTTTTCCAGAAGCAGATTTTGAAAATATTATTGATGATTTTTGTCTACATTAAAGCCAGGAAAATAAAATTATAATAAATTCTGCTTTAGGAATAAATAAATTATTTAATCTTAAAATAATGTGAGTTCAGGATGGGTGCAGTGGCTCACACCTGTAGTCCCAGCACTTTGGAAGGCTGAGTCAGCAGGATCACTTGAGCCCAGGAGTTTGAGGCTCTGGTGAGCTGTGATCACACCACTGTATTACAGCCTGGGCAACAGAGCAAGACCCTGTTTCAAAAAAAAAAATACATAGAACAGAGTTAAAAAGGCAAAGCACAGAATAGGAGAAAAATATTTGCAAATCATATCTCTGATAAGAAATTATTTTCCAGAATATATAGAGAACTCCTAAAACTCAACAACAAAAAACCAGATAATTCAATTCAAAAATGGGCTAAGGACTTGAAGAGATATTTCTCCAGAGAAGACATACAAATGGCCAATAGGTACATGAAAAGGTGCTCAACATCACTAAGCAGTAGGGAAATGCAAATCAAACCTACAATGAGATACCATCTCCCACCCAGTAGGATGGGTACTATCAAAATAACAGAAAATAACAAGAGTTGGCAAGGATATGGAGAAATTGGAATGCTTGTGCACTATTGGTGGGAATATAAAATGGTATGGCTGCTGTGGAAACGCTTCCTCAAATTATTAAAAATACAATTACTGTATGATTCACCTGTTCAACCTCTGGGTATATCCCCCAAATAACAGAAAACAGGGTCTCAAAGAGATATTTGTGCACCCATGTTCACAGCAGCATTATTCACAATAGCCAAAATGTAGAAGCAACCTAACAGATGAATGAATCAACAAAATGTGGTATTACACAATGGAATATTATTCAGCCTTAAAAAGGAAGGAGAATCTGACACGTGCTACCTGTAGATGGCATTGAGGGCATTGTGCTAAGTGAAATAAACTCGTCATAAACAGATAAATATTGGGCTCGGTGGGGTGGCTCACACCTGTAATCCTAGCACTTTGGGAGGCTGAGGCAGGAGGATCGCTTGAGGCCAGGAGTTTGAGACCAGCCTGAGCAAGAGCAAGACCCCATCTCTACAAAAAATTAGAAAAATTAGCCGAGCATGGTGGCACATGCCTGCAGTCCCAGCTACTTGGGAGGCTGAGGCAGGAAAATCACTCGAGCCCAGGAGTTTGAGATATTAGTGAGCTATGATGATGCCACTAAACTCTAGGCCCAGGTGACAGAGCAAGATCCTGTCTCAAAAAAAAAAAAAGACAAATACTGTATGATTCTCCTTATAAGAGGAACTTAGAGTAGTCAAATTCATAAAGACTGAAAGTAGAATGGTGGTTGCCAGGGGCTGGGGGAAGGGAGAAAGGGGGAGTTATTATTTATGGGTACAGAGTGTCAGTTTTACAACATGAAAAGAGTTCTGGAGATGGATGGTGGTGATGGTCACACGACACTATGACTGTATTTATTTATTTATTTTTTGAGACAGAGTCTCACTCTGTTGCCCCGGCTAGAGTGCCGTGGCTTCAGCCTAGCTCATAGCAACCTCAATCTCCTGGGCTCAAGCGATCCTTCTGCCTCAGCCTCCGGAGTAGCTGGGACTACAGGCATGCGGCACCATGCCCAGCTAATTTTTTCTATATATATATTTTTATTTGTCCAGATAATTTCTTTCTATTTTTAGTAGAGACAGGGTCTCACTCTTGCTCAGGTTGGTCTCGAACTCCTGACCTCGAGCGATCCACCCGCCTCGGCCTCCCAGAGTGCTAGGATTACAGGCGTGAGCCACCGTGCCCAGCCACTATGAATGTATTTAACACCACTGAACCGTACATTTAAAAATGGTTAAGATGATAAATTTTATGATACATACATTTTACCACAATTTTCAAAATTGGCAAAAAACCCCTAAAAACATATATTGGAGCAAATATTTTTCCTTTTGCTTCAAGCCCCAATGTCTTGGCATGTGTCTGTTGGATTTTGATATTTTGTTCATTGTGGATTTTTTGCATTAATTTTGATTTTTAAACATATTGTATTCATATATTATTTATGTTGATTACTTAATTTTTTGGCACTGCCATAAGTTTTGTACCCAAGGTAAGTGCCTTACTTGTCTCACCCTGATCCCAGCCCCAGTTATGTCCCAGCGTCAAGGGCTTCCCTGACTGTCCATCATCTCCTGGAGAAAGCCAGGCGCTCCGCCCCCTTCCCGGCACCTGCTCCCGGGAGCTCCTGTGGCCACCAGCCCATGTTTCCAGGCCTTATACACTCTATGGTCCCCGCCAGAATGAGCCTCCATCTCAAAACTCCCTCTTGATCCAATACTGTCCCAGTGAGCCTTTCCCACAGCTCCTCTTCCCCACAGCTCCTCTTCCCCTCAACTCCCTTCAAGAGGCACAAGTTGGTCCCCTACCTGCAAGAGTGTCCCCCACTTTGTCAGGCCAGCTGCTTCTCCCTGGAAGGGGCATCTTCCCACTTCATGCCCAGCTCAGCACTGGGCACTTAAGAAATACCCATGATCTGTGACAGTCAAGCCACACCCCCAAGAAAGGACAACAGGACGGGGCCTGACGCAAAGGTTTATTGCTGAGACTGCACATCTAGCTGAAGGGAGCGAGAATTGTGCCCGGGCCTTGCAGACAGAAGCTCCTTGTCCCTGACTGCAGCACAGGCCCTGGTCCCTGGGCATAAGCAAAGACTCAGTGCTTGATGAGAAAGGTGGGAGCAGGGATGAGGGTGAAATGGGCCTTCATCACTAATGGCTCAGGCATGGCCCTGTTTCCCCTCCAGGGAAAGGGCCCTGAATGGAGAGGGTAAGAGAAGCTGCTGGCAGGGACAGGAGGGTCACCTGGGTTAGCTTGTAACCCCACCTGAGGTAGACTTTTTTGGGCACAGCCTGGGCCTCCATCCTATCCTGAATCTTCTGCCCGGGGCTGATTGATGGAAGGTGGACTCTGCCCCCAGCCACCCCTCAGAACAGCTTGGCTATTGGCCATAGCTGGTGTCAACAGTACCCTCCCTCAACGGACTGTCCCCTTGGCCAGCCAGTCCAGAGTACTGTGTGTGGGTGGGGGAAGTAGGGCATGGATCAGGTGTCCAAGGACAGAGGGGGCAGATCCTGCTAGGGAAGGGGCCGGGGGTTACTCCGAGCCTGGTATTTGGGGAAGGGTCCTGCTTATGTCTCTCCCTGGCCCCCAGGGGTGCCTAGATCTGCTCCCCACTACTAATTTATCTATGTGGCGACTGCACAGGCCAGAGCTATCGAGGACTTTGGACCCCTGAAGCTGCTGGGAGGAACAGTCACTGGCCACTGCATAGACAGGTGTCAGACTTGCCACATGGAGGTGGCAGGGCTGGGCTGGGCTGCTGGTAGGCAGCAGGCCTGCTCCCAGGAGGGACACCCTCTGCCCTGCAGGGAACTCTGGGGGGGAGGGCTGTTTGCTGAGCCCAGATCCACCAGGTGAGCTGTGGGGCCCCAGGGCCAAGAGAGCTGCAAGAGATTGGTCATTGGGGCACTGCTGAGTCACTGTGAGCTTCAGCTGCCCCACGTCCTGCCTGTTCCTAGCTGGGGCTGGCTGCTGTGAGTCCGGAGGCCAGTGCAGCCAGGCAGTGAAGGGCAGGGCTGGGGTTGGAGGTATGGGGGATATGCTATGGGGGAGGGTCTGCACCTCAAGACTAGCAGGACTCAGGGCTTTGGGTCTGTGGCTGGTGAGGTGGCAGGCTGGGGCTCAGGAGTCCTTGGGGGCTGATAGGGTGCTGGGGGCTGGGACTACAAGGCAGCTAGGGCTACAGGGTCTCAGAGCAAGGGACACGCATGAGTTCAGGCACCTGTGAAGAAAAAAGGAAATCGAGTCACTATCTCTGAGACTCACAATTAATGGGTTTAGGCATTGTGTGAGGTGGCCCTGGAAGCTGAGACACTGGGGTTGGGGTGGGAGAGTGGGGTTGGGGGATGTTGGGGCCCGGAGCTAAAAGAAATTAAATGGGTGGGACTTGTGAGCTGGGGAACGGGCCGTGGCAGTGGGGTGGAGCCTGAGGAGCCAGGGTGGGGCTTGGAAGCGGTGGGGAGTGGAAATGGGGCGTCAGGAGCTAGGCCAGGCGGTGGTGTGGGGTCAGAGAGCTTGGGCGGGGCGTGCTGATTTGGGGCGGGGTCTGCAGGAGTGAGGTGGGGGAGCTGGGGGCGGGGCTTGGGGGATTAAGACTAAGTGGGAGGAGAGGGACACGTCTGGGCCAGCGAGGACCCCCACCTCAGAAGAGGCCGCAGTCTTTGAGGTTCTCCTTGATGATGATGTCAGTGACGGCGTCGAAGACAAATTTGACATTCTGCGTGTCGGTGGCGCACGTCATGTGGGAATAGATCTCCTTCACGTCGCGTCGCATGTTGAGCTCGAGGAACTGCACCTTGATGTAGTTGCCGGCGTCCTCGTAGGTGTTGGGCCCTGCAGGGGAGGGAAGGGCTCACTCCAGGCCCCAGCCCTTCCCCTGGCGTGAGAAGCGCGGGCCCAGATTACGGGGCTGGGGCGCCGCCCGGCGGCCGTGCCGGGGGTTCTCACCGTCGTAGTCCGGGAAGCAGATGCTGAGGTGAGCCTTTTTTATCTTTTCGGAGAAAACATCCTTCTTGTTGAGGAACAGCACGATGGACGTGGTGGCGAAGTAGCGGTGGTTGCAGATGCTGTTGAACAGGTGCAGGCTCTCGTGCATACGGTTCTGAGGAGGGCAGCGGCTGTCGGACACCGGGGACACGGGTGGCCGCCCCCACGCGGGCAGCGTCCGACCGGCCAGCCCCTGGTCTCTGGACTCCCGGGCACGCGGGGTCCCTACGCTCAGAGGGTTCTCAGAGAGCTTCCCGCATTGCCGCTTCAGGAGGGGCTGCTGGCTGCCTCCTTGCCGCCTTCGGACGACTCTGTAATGAACGCTCCCTCCTCCCGCAGCAGTCTCCGCCTGTAGGGGGCCCAGCAGCTCCGCCTCCCCCTCAAACTCTCTGGCCCTACTGGGCACTCACCACTTCGTCGTCCTCCACCAGCACCATGTCGTAGGCGCTCAGCGCTGCGATGAAGATAATGCAGGTCACGCCCTCGAAGCAGTGGATCCACTTCTTGCGCTCTGAGCGCTGCCCGCCCACGTCGAACATCCTGCGGGGTGGTGGTGGGCCTGAACCCGCGTATCCGCCCCGCTGGACGCGCCTATGGGACCCCCTCTCCCTATGCCGCTGGGGAGCTGTCGGACGGAGTGGCACCTGGAGGGGCCGGGCCTTTCTGCTGGTGGGGTATCCGCGCAGGGAGGGACGAGACGGGGCCTTCGGCGGGGCACTCCCGGGCAGACCCCCTGAGTTAGGGCGGGGATCGTACCGGAAGTTGAGGTCCTTGAAGGAGAACTGCGTCTCGATGATGCCGGTGGTCTTGACACGCGAGCGCAGCACGTCCTGCTCAGTGGGCACGTAGCCCGGGGTTACCAGGCGCTCCAGGTCGGAGAGGTAGCTGCGGGAGACCCGAGGGTGTGAGCGGCGTGGAGGGGCGTGGCAGGGGCCCGCCCGCGCCCCCGCGTCCTGTGCCGCCCGAGCGCTCACTAGCCAGCGGAGTCGTTGAGCTGGTACTCCGAGGCGCGATCGAAACAGGCCTGGATACCCGAGTCCTTCCACAGCCGCTGGATGATGTCCGACATCTCCTTGGGCATCGTGCCCTCCTCGATAGTGTCTGCCATGTGCATCAGCTTCCGGGCGTCGTCCTGGGGGCAGGGTGGGAGTGGTTGGTGGCAACCATGGACTTGGACCCAGTCGGGCACCTCGAGTCCCAGAGGCCCCGCTCAGCCCGCCTCTTGGCACACCTGGCGCGCAGAGTCTCCGTACTGGATGTTGAGCGTGGTCATGGCGCGCACGATGGCCAGGATGGACTGCAACGTGTTGCCATAGATGATGGCTATGAACTCGAGGCACTCTTCCAGCGAGTACCCGTCCTGATGGATAATCCTGCGGCCAGGGCGAGCAGGGTCAGCGCCTCGTGGGCGGGTAGGGAAGGACAGGAGGCCGCGCCCACCCCCAGGAACCTCGGGACAGGCGAGGGCACTCACTTCATCTGCTTGACAATGGTGCTCTTCCCGGACTCACCGGCACCTGCAAGGGAAGCCGCGCCTCAGGGCCGAGCTGACCGCCTCCCCCTCCCGCAATGAGGCCCGGAAGATGGGGCAGGCCCGAGCTAGCTAGGTGGACCCGCAAGAGACCTGGGCGCCAGCCCGACCCCCAGTCACACTTGCACTTGCTCCCGTCTCCTCCCCCCAGCCCCCACCCTGCCCCAATTCATAGTAAAGTCCTGACGCCCTGGGGGCCAAACGTCTGTAAATGTCAGGAAAATGACAAAAGAGGGCCAATGAGGGGAGCCAATGACATCGGCTGTGCCGGGACATGAGGAGTTCATTAGACCCCGGTATAGGCAACCTTTATTAGACTATGAGACCAAAATAAAGAAATCCTGGAGCGCCACCTTGTGGTAATCTCTGGTACTGCATACAGGGATTATTTGAGATGGGTCGACCCCTACTTTTTTTTTTTTTTTTTTTTTTGAGACAAAGTCTGGCTTTGTTGCCCAGGCTAGAGTGAGTGCCGTGGCGTCAGCCTAGCTCACAGCAACCTCAAACTCCTGGGCTCAAGCGATCTTCCTGCCTCAGCCTCCCGAGTAGCTGGGACTACAGGCATGTGCCACCATGCCCGGCTAATTTTTTCTATATATATTTTTAGTTGTCCAGATCATTTCTTTCTATTTTTTGGTAGAGACGGGGTCTTGCTCTTGCTCAGGCTGGTCTCGAACTCCTGACCTTGAGCGATCCAGCCGCCTCGGCCTCCCGGAGTGCTAGGATTACAGGCGTGAGGCACCGCGCCCCGCCGGTCGACCCCTACTTTTCACATGAAGGGGTGGGGGATGTCTTCAAAAGGCTCAGAGGGAATTAGAACCTTTGGGTAGGGGAGAGGATGGAGCTAACATCCCTTCTAAGCCTGACCCCTCGAGGGCGTCGGGCACAGATAATGGGATTTTCGGCTTAGCCAACCTGCCTTGGGGAGTGGGGGGGTCTTGGCTTATTCCTTCTGCTCATCTCGGGCTGGTTGACTGGACCCTGGAGAGCTTGGGTGGAGCCTGCCCAGCCTTCTTAAAGCTGCTCTTTCCCCTTGGGAAGTCAGACAGTGACCTTGAGGCAGGCCTGCATCAGCCCCATTACCCCTCACTACCCCTGGGTGCAGGGATGTGGCCTTATCTGCTCTGTACTGCGCCTCAGTACCTGCCTCCACTTTTTGCTGCCTTGTAGGCCTATCAACAATAAAGCCCTGCACCTGAGGGCTTTTGTTTGTGGATCTGAGTGGTGCAAGCGGCTCCCCACTCCTGGGAGGACTATGACCTTCCCCTTCCCAAGGATCTAGTGTGAGGCCCCCAGCACAGAGCCCCTGGCTTCTAAGCCCTCCCCAGAAGGCCCATCAGATCAAAGGCTGGAGCTTCAGGGAGCCCAGCCAGGGCAAAAGTGTGCCGCATACACACTCTTGTACAAGAGTGTGGTTGGCACACACTTCTGGGGAGGGGAGGTTGCCTGAGGCAGGGCCCTCTGGAAAGGGGCTTAGTGAGATGTCAGCCTTGGGGGCTGGGATATCACCTGTTAGGCCTGGCCTTGTCTGACCAGGGCTCCCACTCTGCTCTGTGCCCTCCCCTGTCACAGGCTCATGCTGCTTCCCAAGGAACCCCTACTTCCCAAAAGGTCTGCCTGCCTGCCCCTAGGCTGCCGAGCTGGTGACAGTTGCCCCACCTGGGCCCATACACCTACCCAGAAGCAGCAGTTTCACAGTTCGAGCATCCTTCTCAGCATCCTCTTTCAGCTTCTTTTCCAGCTCCCTGGAGTGCTTCTCTTCAGCGCTGGCCCCAGCCCCCATGGTCCCAGCAGCAGTTAAAGGGACAGAATGGGCAGGTGGCTCTTCTGGATGGAGGGGATCCCAAGAGCCTGGCCTTTCCAGGTACCCCTTCTGGCCCCAGGAGGACCTGCAATCAACTGGCTCTCCACGAACCTGTGCAGGCCCTGCTGGGGCTGCTTAGTGGGATTTGGGGGCTGGAGGAGGTGCCCAAAAGCCAATCAGAGACAAGGACAGGTGAAGCCAGCTCAGCCCCCACAACCCTTCTAATCGGGCTGGCATGGCCCCAATCCCTCAACCGCTGACTCTGCACCCTGGCTGTGCCCCAACCCCCACCTTCCAGGAGAGGCCCTGGAGATAGTCTTGGCTCCACCCAAGGGAGACAGGTTCGGTAGGATCAGGGCTGAGAGAGGGGACAATAGGTCCAGGAGCCCTAGGGGTGGGGGCAGTAGGGGTGGGGCTGGCAGCAGGAGGGTGCATCGGGAGAAGCATGCATGGAACACCCATGGCCTGGCACTGGGCTCAGCACCCTCCTTATCTTGGAAGCTCATGCTGGCCCTGGGCATGGGTGCCCATATCATCAGCCCCATTTTACTGATGAGGAAGTGGAGGCTCAAAGGGTCTCACAGCAGGTAGTGGTTGAGAAGGGCTGGGTGACTCTGGACCAAATTTTGTTTTCTGCAGGGAGTCAAGGTGGGCATTACATTTGCCCCATACCAAGGGCTGGATCTGGCCCCAGGCAGTTCCTCCACAAGGATGCCAGTGGGCGTGCATATCTGCTCTGTGTGTCTGGGTGTATGTGTCTGTCCTTTACTGGCACCAAGTAAACAATGACTTGACATGTTTGTGCATGTATACCTGTGTGTACACATATGCCTGTGTGTTTGTGCCTTTGTGGGTGCATGTGCTCTTACATGAGTCTTCATGTGTTTATGTATGCATGCTTATGTATGTGTGCACATGTATAAAGTGTGCGCATGTGTGAATATGCTCTTGTGCACTTATCTGCATGCATGCATGTGCTTATATATATTTTTAAGGGCTTGTGTGGGTTCACCTGTGTGCCTGAATGTGCATTTGTTAGTGTGCACTTGCTCATGTGCACATGTATGAGCATGTCCATATCTTAGCACATGCAAGTGTGTGCCTGCGTGTGTACATTTATGCATGTGTATGCATATATGTGCATACATGCTTCCATGTGCCTGTGCCTATGTGTACATGTGTATTTGGGTGCAACAAAGTCTCTGAGCTGCAGAGGTGGCCAGCCTTTTCTGGAGAATGTTTTGCAGACGTGTTGTCAGATCGGGAAACAAAGTCCCAGAGCAGCTCTGGTGCTCCCTGGAGCATGGAGGAACAGAGCTCCTGCTCTGTTCCTATGGGGGGACAGGGCACTGTGACCTGCCTGCAGGTACCTCTAGGGCCTGCTTGCCTCAGTTTAGGGGTCTAGTGAGCTGTTCAGGTGCAGGGAACACTGCTGAGCAGAAATAGTTTGGGGTGAGCCAGCAACATTGAGCTCCCAGGCTTTAGAGACTTTCCACCCCCAAGCTCCCATCAGAAAACCCAAATCTTGGGCTCTTGAAGCCCCCTCCAGGGGACCTGAGCCTTCTGGCTGGACTCATTCATGGAACCTGGCTGCCTTTTAATACCCAACTCTGCCAGACTGAAGAGACCACGAGGGGGTGCCAGGGCCCTGGACACTGAGCACTGAAGGCCATCTCTAAACAGGATGAGTGGGAAGTGGATTCTGGCTCCTACGACAGACTGGCAGTATTGACACCCACCCTGTCACGTAGGGGGGATCTGTCCATGTGTGAGACTGTTTCATCTGAGCCACTTTCAGCCTTCCGGCTCCATCCACCCTCCCACCGCCATTGAGAGTGGGCCCTGGTGGTCTCTGCAACCCTTTACGCTGCCCTGGCATTTGGTGCAGTGCAGGAGCCCAGGTTTGTCAAAACAAATGTGATTTCTACATATTGGTTTTGTTTGCTTTGGGGCCAATCCACTCCTTCCCAGGCCCCCACGTGGCTCCCCTTGCCCACCCAGGGTGGCTCTAAACTCCCATGCACCCCACCAAGGAGAGAAGCCAAAGTCTAGTCCCAGAGCCAGTGTTTATTAGCAAGATGGAACCCAAGGGTGGCTATGGCCTGGGCAGCAGAGGACTGCCAGGAGGCCCCCATGTACCCAACTGCCCCCCAGAGCTATTTATACCCATCACCTGAAGTGGTGGGCAGAAGGGAGCCCTGGGGAGCCCGTGCAGGCCCCAGGCTTCCACCATGGCCCCCTCTCCTCTCGGGGTGGGGGGCTTCCCTCCGCCCTGCCTGTACCTGGCCCTTCTGCTATTCTCCCAGCCTCTGAATCAAGGGGCTCGGGAAAAGCTAAGGAGGTAGAGTGGGGCGGCCCTGCCCTGGCCAGGCAGGGGAGAAGGGGCTGAAGGTGCTGCCCCACCCCGGCAGGACTCCTCTTCTCCTGTCCCCAATAAATAGAGAATAAATACCTGGAAAGGGGCTGGCTTTGGCTAAGTGCCCCCAACCCAGGCAGGGACCAGCATCCTGTGATGGCCCCTTCTTCCCTTCTCTGAGTGCACCCGAGCCCCACCCCAGTCTCCAAAGCAGTCCTGGCATCCATGTCTATGCCACAGCACGGTTGACAGCATTCATCAGCAAAGGTATACGGTCCATGCCCCATCCAAATAGGGCTTGCTCCCTCCCCATGTCCTGTAGATCTTGGTGGTGACCTTTAAGCAAGCAGACTTCCAGCTGAGTCTGGGGATTGTGTGGTCCTGGCCTGGCCCTGCCAACGGGCTGGGCCTGGTTAGGCGGGCTCCATATTTTGCTGTCTCTGACCAGCATGGGTTGAAGTTTTGGATGATGCTGCCACTGAGGCAGGCTGTATTCAACCCACCAATAAATACTGTCTTTGCAGGGGCAGGGTGTGTATAGAATATAGATATTTTATATATATATATATCTTTTATATTAAAAGGGACGAGGGCTAGGCTGGCGCTTTGCAGGGCTCAGGCAGCTGGCCTCATGTGTCTGGAGGGTGGTGCCGGCGATTCCGGGGCTTTTTCTGGTCCTGGGGCTCTGGAGGCCTGGGTGCCCCTGGAGCCTCCCTGGGGCTGGGGGGCACATGACGCCAGTAACCCTGGCAGTACTGGTGGATGAGGCCCACTTCTGGCTGGGCCAGCAGCTGGGCCAGCTCCTGGTAAGGAGGTGTGGGAGCGCCTGCCCCTGGGGGCGGTGGGGCGCTCACAGCCAGAGGTGGGAAGAGCGCAGCATGGACGGCGTCCCGGCCCAGAACGTGCAGCTGGACCCGTGTGACGACGTGCTTGAAGTTGTTCTCAGTGGCAGTGCACGAGTAGAGGCCGCGATCACTGAGCTGCAGGGTGCGAAGCAACAGGCCCTGCTCTGTGCGCAGGAAACGGTCCTCTGCACGAATCTGCAGGGGCAGGGAGTAAGGGCTCAGGGGTCTGTGACCACTCCCCTGCCCTAGCCAGCCCCCAGATCAGACCACCTTTGTGAGCATTCCATGTAGAGGCACCTACGTGGGATTTCCACATACCAGGAAAAGCCCACATGAAGTCTCCCCATAACGAGAGATATCTGAATAAGGCATTCACCCACGTTTCCATTTCAGGAAAGATGACCATAAGGGGGTTCTGTACAATGAGAAGTTTGGAGCACACACAGAATTTCCACTTAATGAGAATACCAAACTGGGCACCTGTATAGAATTCCCACGTAAAGAGGGACACCTGTAAGGCATTTCCATAAAACGAGGACCCCACAGGATTTCCACGTACTGGGGCTCGCCCACCTGGTGTTTCCGCACAGGGAGGTACGCCCTCAGTGGGGTGTGGTGTGGTGTTGTCACATAAAGAGGCACACCTATAACACACCTATGAGCAGTTTCCATACACTGAGGCCTGTCCCACAGTTTCCACATGACTGGTTTCACTCAAGTGATTTACACGGAGGGAAGGGAGCCTGCAAGGGGTTCCCAAGCATGAGGGCTGCCCCAGATTGGCGCCTCTGCTAATTTCACCCACGTGGAATTTCCACTATACGAGGGACTCCGACATCGGTGGTTTGGGACTGCAGGGCACAGGAGCTCACCTCTCGGCGCCGGTCCCCAGGATCTCGCTGGAACAGCCACTTAATGGTGGCCTGGGGTGAGCGGGGCTGGCACTCGAGGAAGGCCGCGCTGCCTGCCACGCCGTACTGCACAGACTCCACGGCATTCTTGTTGGCTGCAGACCAAGAGGGGCTGAGTGAACACAGCATCACCTCTGGGCAGCCCGCTGGCAGGTGCTTGGCAGGCACGGACGGAGGTAGGGCTGTGCTGAAGGGTATCCATTCTTTGAGGGGGTGACCAAGTATCCCATCTCCAAAACCCCAAGCCCCCTCAGCCCCCAACCAGCCATCTGAGAATCCTTTCGGTGAGGGGCCCTGTGAGCAGCTACATGGGTCGCACAGGACTCTGCAGTGGGTGAGGCCCAGCACACTCACCATTGGAGTTGAACCCACGGCACTGCCTGATGGGGTTTCCGTGCCGGACGTCCTGCCGGCGGCTCCGCCTGGATGAGGATAGCTCCTGAAGGAGTGCTTCCAGGAAGCTTGTCCCCCAGGTCCCTGCACCCCCAAAATGCAGGGCAGGGCCCTGTGTCCTCAGGGCAGTGATATCTCACCCATAGACTCCCCCAGGGTAATATCACATCCACCTCTAACCCCCCAGGACAGGGCCCTAGGTCTGGCGACTAAAATCCCAAGGGCCCTGCGGTCCACACCTCTTGGAGGATGCTGTGTAGCGGGAGCAGGCCTGGCCATCCCAGGCACAGTAGGGGTCTCGGGCGAGGCAGCAGTCGGCACAGGCAGCCCCATATGCCTGGCAGCGGTGCAGGCTTAGATGTGTGACACCCACGGCTGAGGCCACGTACAGTTGTTGCTGGGGGCAGGGGCAGGAGCTTGTCAGTTCCCTTTCTACAGCCAGCCCCCATCAGTAGCCAGTCAGGCCAGGCTCTT